GGGGGGGGGGGGGGGTCTGGAAATGTTAGTAAATACATCCTTGGGTTTAAATATGTGCCTACAGTTACATTATACTGTGAATACTATTCTTTCTCTTCACATTTTCAGTCTTTTTTATATTTAAATAATACATTTTAAGCAATGTTGGCTGTGCAGTTGCATACAATCCGCAGAAAGCTAAATGCTTGTTAGAGAAGTTTTGTTAAAAGAAAAACGTTTTTGGGAAGACTATTTCCAATCCTCACTCATGTCATTGTCATATCTCAAAATTGCACTGCGCATGATGCAGCTTAGTGTATTCATGCAAAATATGAGTATTAAATTAGATTGTGTTTTAGGATGCGGAAGTTGAAGTTTGTAGGAGGGAGAAGAAACCCTTACAAAATATGTAAAAAAAATGTAAGAACCTCAAAATGTAATAAAAGTCGTTTATATACCATAATGATGGGAATTTATAAAAACTGGAGCAGGCAAATTCTGGAGCAGTTGCTTATAGTAACCAATCAGCTTCTCTCTTCAGTTTGTTTAGTTAAGATTTGAAAATGATAGAGAGAAGCTGATTGGTTGCCATGCACAGCTGATCCAGATTTTGTCTGCTCCAGTTTTGATAAATTCCCCTCAAAGGGGGGGGGGAGAATTTATCATAGCAATTGCAAGTGTTTGAACTTGTTGCTGAATCTGATGAAGGGGACCCTGCGTGGCCCAGAAAGCGCTAGTTTTGGTGACATGACATTCCAATAAACAAACTCTTTGGACTGCAATACTGTTGGTGTGCTGGTGACATTCATCTTTATACTGTGTGCCGGCGACATCCGCAGGTCACTCCGGTAAGAAGTGCGACAAGGTATTTCTTTGTTTGAACTTGCATATGATCGCATGGGATATATTTACCCCAGATTTATGTTGCTAGTGTAATGTTGTTCATAAATGAGGTTAAATAGACTCCAGGAAAGAAGACTCGTAACTCCAAGCAAAAAGCGCACCTGTCACTTCTTGAAGAAGTGGTCATAGGGACTGCTTAAGTAGCGATTGTTTGTTAGGTGATGCTCCAGTTTCTGACAGCCGCAGGACAAGCGCAGCTGTAAACAGTTGCGAACTTTTGCAAAACAGGCGCAATCGTGAAAATAGTGCAAGCTCTGCTTTGCTAGTAGAATGATATTTTACTAAGACCGGGAACAGTCAATTTAACAGATACATTGGATCTTTAACTAAATAGGATCTTTATTTAGGAGACAATACAAAAATAAACTATAATCTGTTTTGTTTGCTTTATAGGTGTAACAATCAGACCACATGTATCTGGTTTGTCCTACTCCTTTGATTCTTCAGAAAAAAACACATGGTCACCATATACAGAAAGTCTACAAACATTTCTCGAAGGTACTTTTTTTTATAACAAACATTTATACACATATATATATACAGGTGAAACTCAAATAATTAGAATACCGTGCAAAAGTAATTGCAGTAAGTGCTGCAAAAGGGGCCCAAACATAATACATAAACATAATAATACATAAAAACGTTGGGAGAGGACATGGCTGAGAATGGTTTTCACAGTACAGTCTGAGATTTGCCTGTGTATTCAGAAGCCTACATCTAACAACTTTTGAAATTCTTTTTTTCACATATTTTCACTGACTGTGACCTCAAAAATAAACCTTTGGCTCCACTTCTTTTTTTTTCACACTAATCTGTGTGTCCCTCCTTTTTTTCTATCTCTCATGGGTGCTTCTCCCCTGCTCCACTTGTGTTTTTCTTTTTTTCCTATGCTCATATATGTGCTCCCAGGCTCACTATACTGTTTTTTTTATTCCCTAACGGCACCACTGGTGCTTTTATCTTTTTTTTAAATCCATGATATACTTGAATGACTCTCTGATTGCTACCGATATATTGTACACTTCCAGAGTTTATGATCCAGGACAGTTCCTTCTTTTCTACTACTTGTTGTTTTGTTCTGTTTTGTATACATGCTCATTTTGTTGAATAAAGCTTTTGGAGAATTAAAAAGAAACCAAACCTGTAATTAACATTACCCTAGTAAAGTATCACCAGAATTCATGTTCCAGTCCAGCTTTTATACAGAACACGCAGAGGGCTTCAATACCCAGGGCACTCTATGATGGAAATAGTAGCTTTAGCTGGAAAGCTGATTATATAGTCCATCTGATCTCACCTCTCATGTCCAAAATTTCAGAATGTGGGAGACTATTGGCTAAAGTTCTGTCTGGTTTAGGTTTTAATTTGCATAATAGAGTATTATGGGTTTGGGGCTTATGGAGCTCTTTGAACTAAAGCTTAATTTACATGCAGACTAATTTCCATACCAGTTTACTACGGTAACTTTGGCTACACATTAAAGGTAAGTATTTGTGTAGCTGATAGATTGAAGCTCTGACTAATTTCTAATACTACTAGGCATTGTTAGTGGAAATACCAAGCCGCTGTAGCCCTAGGCTCTGCCCTCACCACAGCCAATACAAACAAAGTGAGGTACTCTCATCCTTCCTGTTGCTCTCCCTATCATGTAAAACAAGAAATAACCCAGCACTGTTCAAAATATTCTATCATAATGGTGAAATTAGTTTAACAGAGCTGGCTTGATAAGGCCTACCCATAGGTGGACAAAAAATAAAAGTATGGTTGGGAGATCTGGCACCAAGAAGTGGAAATACATGCATTGGACATATCATTATAACTTACTGTAACAGATAATGTGAAAAAGAAGGAAGTGCAAGGTCTTAATTTATGGAATAAATACCCATAGTGCCTAGGTTATTGTTATCCACAAATCTAGCTGTGGTTAGGATTAGTTCAATAAAGTAAGAATAATAGATTTGAAAAATATTTTGCTTCTTTTCTAGCCTATGATGATGAAAAGCAAATAGAGAACAATATGGTGTGTACACAAGGACAGTATTTTATCCAGGAAGGAGAGGAACATGAGGAGAAGAAGGCTTGTCAGTTTCGTCGCTCATTGTTACTAAACTGCTCTGGTATAGAAGACCCATCATTTGGCTTTTCCCAAGGGAAGCCCTGTATTATACTGAAAATGAATCGGGTAAAAGCAAATACTTACATGATAATAACTATATGAAATGAAAATAATGAAAATAAGTTATAACTATAAATGTATTGAGTACAGTGTTAAAAATGTAGTATGTAGCCTGATCAGTGTGTGCAGAAAGCAATACAAAATGAAAATAGATTATCGAAGAACACTTTTATATATGACCGTAAGAAGTAAACTCATAGAATGTGTACACAGCTGAAGACATCCAGGAAATGCTATTTGCAGAACTACAGGGAGCTTGACATTTACATTTATCACCAAATGTCTGATCACTGGTGAATACTACATGCGCTCCACTAGTGGATATTACTGACATATTTGTTGCAAAACCATTTATTGAGTGGTTAGTTAGGAATTATAAGGGACATTGGCTGTCATGCAAAAAAAGATGAACGCCCTATGCCTGTCATGTGATAGAATGATGTTATATGTCCTCTGTACTATCTAGGTTGTGAAGAAAGAGTAAAATCTAGAATGTCTAGAATGGTTGGCAGTAATAAAAAAGTATAAAAAGTAAATGTCAAAGCAATAGGGAGTATGCTTGGTATCACTTGATTTTCTAACAGGCTGGAAAATAGAAAAGGCAATACTCCATTCACGGGCATTCTACATTAGAGTTGTGGGGGGAAACTTGTCAGGCCTGCAGTTAGAGTATGGGCCTGTCTATTTACTACCTCAGCTAAGACATCTGCTAGTCCAGTCATTTGAAGCTTATATAGGGTTTAAGCTTATATATCATTACTATGGAAAACTAGCAAGCTTTTTTTTATTTCCACTAGATTCTTGGTTTTAAGGCGGGCTCTGGAATACCAATTACTGTCACCTGTGACACTCACGTAAGTAATATTTATTAGTACCACTTTACCTAAAGGTTTATACTATTAAATGTAGTATTCAGTAAAATAAAGATTCTCATCCATATAAATATCCTATTACAGACTGGGTAAATCTACATACAAAGATATACTAGAGGAAACTTTTGCTCCATAGATTATAGTATTGTGAAAATAGTATATTTTTATTGTGGAGAGGGGAAGAATTAAAACTTCTGACAGATTTTATTCCTGTCCGTGACCCCAATGGGGAGATTCTCCCTCAATTCCTTTCCCTGTAATGTCAACACAAGAAATCAGAGGTGCAGTTCTCCCAGGGTCTGGATGGTATTCACAGTTATAAAACATTGTCAGAAGGAGAAAGAACATGTCACCCAAAGAAACACATAATAAAAAAAAACCTGACAAAGGCTCTAACCTTTACCTGCTCTATACAAAACAAAATCAATAGCTTTGGCTGAAGTTGGGCCTTAACTTATAATTTAGGTGTGGTTGTTCTTGACAAAACAAGGTTACGTTTACACCTCTGCAATTTTCATATGGTGTATTTGCAGTACAGCACATTTATTTTTCTGTTTTACATGTGTTACCATTTTCACCTATAGAAGGTGCAGTTTTCTTGAAACTATCAAAGGTACAGTAAGTAGGATTTTTATTAATGCACTGTGCTACAGTTAAGGAGGAGAATGAAGCCTAAGCTGACTCTGTCATGAAGCAAGACACTTGTTTTGTGTTGTGACATATTAACTTTAAAATGACATCTATTTTGTAACTGGTTTTGGATACCATTTTTGGAATTTGGAACTGACCAGTCTATGGAGTAGCAGAAAGTTACATTTACAGGGCTATTCACAAAAGAGTGAAGAGTTTGGAGAAGGCAGGAGAAGTGAACAATCTAGGACAAAATAGCTGATTTGGAAAAATTCTCCAATTTAGCTCACTTTCCAGTTCAGCTATGTTGTCCTAGATTGTTCGCTTCTCCAAACTCTTCACCCTTTTGTGAATAACCCTGTTAATATACAAACATGGATACATTTGTTGATCCCATCTACAAAAAGAGGAACTTTTCTCTGAAATGGCTTGCAATTGACCAAAGTAACTGGCATGCATCATTGTTTATTTCACATTTAATAAAATCCAGACATTGCTTTTGATTTTTGATTCAACAGAATATTTTAAATAAAACAAATAACAATGACATGATCAAAAAGGATGGGACCCTCAACATAATATTTTGTTGCACAACATTTAGAGGCAATCACTGCAAACAAGCAATTTCCGTAGCTCTCAGACTTCTTCTTCACCCGCCAACAGATAGTTTGCACTAGAACAGAGTGCTATAGCTGAATTATGTAAACAATCAACTATACAAATATAAAAATGACACAAATTTGTAGCCACATAAATATAAAGTGCTAACATGTGTAGCCAGGCAGCTTCTTTGATTATTCGATGTAAGAAAAGATAAAATCATCAATTTACTCATAATTGGAGACCTTAAACAGGATCAGAAAAGGGAGTACTAATTCCTGGACCCTGCTGCCCAACCTTTCATTTACTTTCGCCTCTCGATCAGATCCATTCCCATAGTCGTGCATATGAGTGCAAGGAGCGCATTTTTGGGGAAGCTTATCCCCTTCATCAGCCTCAATGTTGATGGGCCCATGACCAGCCGTTTTAGCTTAGCTTGGCTGTTGCAGGCAAGTTGGTAAGTGTGCTTGGAAATGTCTGTTTTGTATTGTTGCAAGCACTTCCATATCCTTGCATTTAGGGCTGGTTATACATTGATTTGTGGTTGCTGTTTTTGTTTAGCTTGGCTGTATTTGGTGTGGGGAAAGCCTCCACTTCAGCTTACATTTTTATGTGCTGGGCCTGCAGTGCATCCCTATGCCTTTAAGGAGGAGTAGGCTGCCTCCAGGCATACCTGCATTTAATTTATCTACTGTTTTATTTGCTCCAATATGGAGGCTCTCATAGATTAGAGTTAGGACCACACTTCACAGAGGACCCTTGACAAAGCAGTATGGCTTCCACATATTTTACAAAAGTTGTGCAACTATAGCCTCTTTTTTTAATGCATATTGTTGTTGTTGTTGTTGTTGTAGGCTCACTGGTAAGTGTGCTGGAAAATGTCTGTATTTTGTATAGTTTAGCTTGTAGCTCTTTGGAAGTTTTCTTTGACTGCTTGTCTACCAATCACACAATTTTTCTGTTCAATCCATGGTTGATTTTCCTCTTGCAGCCATGTCCACAGATGTTGGCTACACTCCCATGGACCTTAAACTTCTTAATTTTTTTAACTGTTGTCACAGGAACATTTAGCTGTGTGGAGATGGACTTTTAGCCTTTTCCTTTGAACAGTGGCGTCGCTACAGGGGAGCAAGGGGGGGGCAATTGCCCCCCTAGGTTATCACTTGCCCCCCCCCCCCCGTACTAGCGCAAGACAAGAGAAATGGAATCCCTGTCCCAGCAGATAACTGTGCCCGGGACAGTTATCACACAGTTATCTGCTGGGACAGGGGTCCTCCCCGCTGCAGCCTCTAGGGAGAAACCACAGACAGTCTGACCCCTGCCCACCCGCAGTCTACTCACCTCTCCGCGGCGTCTGCGCTCCTCTCCTGCTGACAGCCACGCGATTGTCTTCATTCCAGCATAGCCAGCCTGCTATTGGCTCTTTTAAATTGCAGTAGCCAATAACAGGCTGGCTATTGCACCCGCCCACTGCCTGCTGTCAATCAACAGAGGTGGACCTAATAGAAAACTTCAGGTCCCTCCTCTGCTGATTGACAGCATGCAGTGGGTGGGTGCAGTAGCCAGCCTGTTTTTGGCTATTGCAATTTGAAATATCCAATAGCAGGCTGGCTAAATAAAATTAAAAAAGTAACAAAAAATAAAGTTAAATTAATAAGAAGTAAAAAATATGTAAAAAAATAAAA